TTCACCGTGTTAGCCAGGATGGTCTCGATCTCCTGACCTCATGATCCGTCCGCCTCAGCCTCCCAGAGTGCTCAGATTATAGGCGTGAGCCACCGCACCCAGCCCTGAATTGCTTTTTTCCATGTAACATCCTTGTATTTTTCCATATTAGGGCTGTCAAAAAACAAAATTTCAATAAATTGAGTTTGAAAGATCTAATTGCCTTTTATTAATGATTTATGAACTATGCAGTCTACAAAATAGAAAAGAGCTCCAATGAGCTGGACAGGGGAAGTCAGCTTTAGAAAAAGGCTGAAGAAAGTGGAAACAAAGAACAGAAAGCAGATTGGTTATTTCCAACTTGCTTTCCTCGTAGGGGCATAAGCAAAATTTTGTTTTAATGGGATTTGACTATCATCTCTCTCCAGATTTCTCAGAAGCTCAGCTCTTACAAGTAAACAACTTAGGTTTCAGGTTGGTGAAGTGGAGCCTTAGCATGAATGATTCCATTTTGGGCCTGCTGTCTTGTCTTGTCTTCTTTTCTTTTCTTATTTATTTAGAGACAGGGTCTCTCTGTTGCCCAGGCTGTAGTGCAGTGGCGCCATCTTGGCTCATTGCAGCCTCCGCCTCCTGGGTTCAAGTGATTCTCCTGCCTCTGCCAGCCGAGTAGCTGAGATTACAGGCATGCACCACCACACCTGGCTAATTTTTGTATTTTTAGTAGAGACTGCGTTTCACCATGTTGGCCAGGCTGGTCTCAAACTTCTAAACTCAAGTGATCTGCCTGCCTCAGCCTCCCAAAGTGCTGGGATTACAGACATGAGCCACCATGCTTGGCCTGCTGTCTTTTCTTTAACAAGATATAAATGTTTTGTTTTGTTTTGTTTTGTTTTGTTTGAGATAGAGTCTCGCTCTGTCACCCAGGCTGGAGTGCAGTAGCACGATCTTGGCTCACTGCAACCGCTGCCTCCCGGGTTCAAGTGATTCTTCTGCCTCAGCCTCCGGAGTAGCTGGGACTAAAGGCATGCGCCACCACACCTGGCTAATTTTTGTATTTTTAGTAGAGATGGGCTTTCACCATACTGGCCAGGCTGGTCTCGATCTCCTGATCTTGTGATCCACCCTCCTTGGCCCCGCAAAGTGCTGGGATTACAGGTGTGAGCCACCGCGCCCGGTCATAAATGTATTTTGTATGGAAAATTTTTGTTAAAGTCTGCATAGTATTTCACTGGATATACCATAAGATGGCTAACTATTTTTATAATTCAAATTATTCCTAGTGTTTTAGTAAAAACAATGCTGTAATGAACATCACTCTTCTTCACTAATCCTTGAACACGCCAAGCATACTCACATCTCAGAGTCCATTCTCTGATTAGAATCCTCATTCTCCCGCCAGGCACGGTGCCTCAAGCCTGTAATCCCAGCACTTTGGGAGGCCGAGGTGGGTGAATCACCTGAGGTCAGGAGTTTGAGACCAGCCTGACCAATATGGTGAAACCCCGTCTCTACTAAAAATACAAAAATTACCTGGGCATGGTGGTGCACACCTGTTGTCCCAGCTACTCAGGAGGCTGAGGCAGGAGAATTGCTTGAACCCAGGAGGTGGATGTTGCGGTGAGCCGAGATTGTGCAACTGCACTCCAGCCTGGGTGGCGGAGCAATACTCCGTCCGCCCCCCTACCCCCCCCAAAAAAAAAAAGGCAACCTCTTTCTCCCTGATAGACTTGTCTCACTAACTTGCTGCTTTCAATTTCATTTTTCTCATATGTTTCTAAAATTACAGCTCCCCAATGTTTCCTTCCTTGCTATCTATACTATCACTGTCTGATACATTGTTTATTTTGTTAGCTTGTTTATTATTACTCCCCATTGCTTCCTGTACAATGAAAGGTCCATGAAGGCATGAACAATATCTGGCATCTAGCAGGTGTTCCATACGTTTTAAATGAACATGTGTATTGAGCAACAATAGTATATATTAGGATCCAGTGGAAAACATTTCAGAGTTTTTATTCAAAAATACATTCCCAATTTTATTGTTTATCTGGGGTATGGATGGCAGATAAAAGGTGTTTTTTTTTTTTTCTTAATAAAGCTATTTCAGAATTTCAAAAACAATCCCATAGGATGCCTTAAAAGTCTAAATTTTGATATTGCTATAGGCATTGTGGTATAATGGAAAAAAACACTAGACTTGGGACTTACTAAGTCTTGAGTTCTGGTCTAGTTCTGCTACTCACCCTGGTGTTTGACCTTGTATGAGTCATTTATTTGCTTTGTATCTACTTTTCATCTAAAAATTGCTGAGCAAACTACATTCTGATGGTCTCTTTTATCTCTTGACATTTTGATTTGAGAAGCTAAGTATAATACATTTTGGTATTGTTTTAAAATTATTAGTTATCAATTACCCAGAGTTGTTTATTTTTTTAAAAAAGCAAGTTTTAATGTCACATTAGTTAAGTTGGTACATCCTTCAACATCTTCCTTTTACTTCTTTCATGTAGCTATCAGATATTGTGAAAAATGTCAGCTGATTAAACCTGATCGGGCACATCACTGCTCAGCATGTGACTCGTAAGTGTTACTCACACATATGCTTACTATCTAGCACTGGAAATCAGTGATGGGAGAGTGCAAGGGGAAGGAACATTTTATATGCTTTACACTTGACAACAACACTTCATCCTCTCCCATTATTTGCTGTGCATACAGGTGAGACAAAAAATTGCTAAAAGCTGGAATATACTCACAAGTTATCTTTGATAACAGTTCCTATACCAGTGAATAGAATTTTCTCGAACTTTATGCTATCTGTGCTTGTGCTTAATATAAGTCCTTGTGCACATGCAAGGAGATAATATGTTGAGGGAAAGATCACTAGTTTGGGAATCTCATCTAATCCGTGACTTTTAGTAACACAGTTACTTAACTTTCTAAGTATTAGATTACTCATTTTGTTATATTATTTAAGATGATCTGTGGTCTAACTTCATATAAATATAGAACACATATTCTAGTAGGGAGGCAAATGTGGGGTTTGGTTTTTTTTTTTCCTTATTACAAAAAAACAGTAGTGCTTATGCATGGGGTAACATTTTATAGACTATGTGGAAAAATAACCATCTCCGAGCCCATCAATGTTAATATTTTGGCTTATTTCCTTCTAAACTTTTGTTTTTATGACCTGCATGTGTTTAAAATAACATATGGGCCATCTGTATTGCATTTTATCTCCTTCAGCTAATTTGTTAGCTGGATCTATCTTACGTACCAAGTACTGTGCACAAGATCTGAATTTTGTTTTTTTCAGAATAGGGTCTCACTATGTCAGTCAGGCTGGTCTTAAACTCCTGACCTCAAATGATCCTACCATCTCCACCTTCCAAAGTGCTGGAATTAATTACACACATGAGCCACCGTGCCCAGCCCAGATCTAAGTATTACAGTATCATTTGATGTGGTCTAAGGCAGCTGAATATGTTCAGCTGAATTCCCAGTATAAAAACCATGACTTTTTACCTATGAACATTTTTGTGGAAGCATCAGAAATTATCTCTAACCTGGTTTCTGGGTTGATTCTCTTAAGATGTAGTTGTAAAGAGAAAATTTTAAGTCAAGTAAAAGAAAGTTATGAGAAGTTAGAATTAGAAGAATTTTTCTGCATGGATTTTCTTATGCTTGTTTGTTTCCTAGATGTATTCTTAAGATGGATCATCACTGTCCTTGGTATGTATAAAAAAACAGAAGAAATTGCATTGGTGGTGGGAAAGAGAATTTAGAGTAACTTCAGTGTTCCTAAATTTTGAAGGCCAGCTTACTCATAGATATTAAGATTGATCTCTTTACGTATATGCATATATTTGTATGTACACAATTATATTAAATGGTTTCTATTAAAAATATCTGCTGACATTAACCCAAATAACAATGTATTAAGAATTAACATTAAAATTCCACATTCTTATAGAATTTATTAAATACATACCTTCACAATTAAGACACCACTCTCAACTTCCCAGATGACCCGTTTCTAGGTAATAATGATTAAGTTTTCTGATTTGTCTTTTTTTGTGTTTCTTTGTTTTATTTTATTTTATTTTTGAAACAGGGTCTCTGGTTGCCCAGGCTGGAGTACAGTGGCATGATCTTGGCTCACTGCAGCCTCGACCTTCTGGGCTCAGGTGATTCTTCCACCTCAGTCTCTCAAGCAGCTGGGACTGCAAGCATGCACCACCACGCCTGGCTAATTTATTGTATTTTTAATAGAGGTGGGGTTTCGCCATGTTGCCCAGGCTGGTCTTAAATTCCTGGACTCAAGTAATCCCCCTGCCTTGGCCTCCCAAAGTGCTAGGATTACAGGCATGAGCCACTGCACTCGGCCCAATTAATTTTTTTAAAATTATTACTTTTTAATTGTTTTAAAAACATCTAAGAGGTCAGGAGTTCAAGACCAGTCTGGGCAACATGGTGAAACCCCATCTCTATTAAAAATACAAAAATTAGCTGGATGTTGTGGTGGGCACCTGTAAGTGCCAGCTACTTGGGAGGCTGAGGCAGGAGAATCGCTTGAACCTGGGAGGCAGAGGTTGCAGTGAGCCGAGATCACGCCACTGCACTCCAACCTGGGCAACAGAGCGAAACTCCCATAAGGTGTACCATCTTAACCATTTCTTAGGGTACAGTTCAGTAGTGTTAAGTATGTTTAAATTATTGTGCAATTAATCTCCAGAACTTTTTCATCCTGCAAAACTGAAATTTTGTTCTCATTAAAGAACTCCCCTTCCCCACACCACACTAGCCCCTGGCAACCTCCATCCTACTTTCTATTTCTGTGAATTTGATTTGTCTTACTTTTATAATGTGGCTTTCTTTATTTTTCCAGGGTGAATAACTGTGTGGGATTTTCTAATTACAAATTCTTCCTGCTGTTTTTATTGTATTCCCTATTATATTGCCTTTTCGTGGCTGCAACAGTTTTAGAGTACTTCATAAAATTTTGGACGGTAAGTCTTTTTTTCTATCTTGAAACATGTATTTGAGACTTTAAGATACTATCTTTCTAATAAATTACTTCATTTTTTGTGACAAGTAGATATACTTTAATTTTACAAGTTAGAGTTTTATAAATGACTCAGAGGACAGATAGAGCTACAATTTACTTTCATATACACATGTTTATTTGTAAATAAATGTATATTAAGCAGGATATAGTGAGCCTTTTTTAGTGATCCAAATTATTTTCACCCACATTCTAACAAAAACATATTCATTTTAGGGAGGTAAATTGCTTTTCTTTGAGTCAGTGAGACTTACTGCAATTTTTATAGTAATAAAATCTATAAAGACATTAAGCAGTTTAGTGGTTGCCTCAGCCCCAGGCAGCCACTAAACTGCTTCCTGTCTTTACAGATTTTACAGCATTTCTTAAAATGGCAAATGAATGAAAAAAATTAAATGTCTTTTCAGCTGAGGTTTCCTTAAACTATGATACATCTATACAAAGGAATGCAATGCAGCTTAAGAAAGAATAAGGAAGCTCTTTATAACAAATGATGTGAAGTGATCTTTGAGATCTATTATTAACGTGAAAAAAACAAGGCATGGAAGAATGCATATACTATGCTGCCATTTCTACAGCAAAATAACGTGTATATATTTATATATGTCTTATCTGAAAGAATGCAGTAAAAATTTCTTAACAGTGGTTGCCTCTGGGGAGGGCACTTAGAAGGGAGACATGCTTTTTACAGTTATCCTTTGGATTTTGTGTAACGTGGACAAATAGTAATGTATTCAAAACAGATAAATATAGCTTAAAAATTTTTTTAGTGTGGAAGTATATCTTTTTTGGGGAAAAACTACCAAAAACATTGAAAGTAACTGCCTCTTGGAAGTGGGAGAACTGCTGTTTTTCATTAATAGCTTTTTAGCATTATTTTAATTTTCTCTGTGCATGTACCATTTTTAAAAAATTTAGAAATTATTTTATTGTTTTATTTTTTATTTTTATTTTATTTTATTTTATTTTTATTTGAGATGGAGTCTTGCTCGGTCACCCAGGCTGGAGTGCAGTGGCGTGATCTCATCTTACTATAACCTTTGCCTTCCGGGTTCAAGCGATTCTCCTGCCTCAGCCTCCCCAGTAGCTGGGATTACAGGTGCCCTGCCACAATGCCCAACTAATTTTTGTATTTTAAGAGAGAGAGGATTTCACCATTTTGGCCAGGCTGGTCTCGAGCTCCTGACTTCAAGTGATTTGCCCGCCTCAGCCATCCAAAGTGCTGGGATTTCAAATGTGAGCCACTGTGCCTGGCCGAAATAATTTCAAAATAAATGAAAATTTTCTCCTTCATTTGAACTCTTCTCTTTAAGTTTCAATATTCATTCCTTTTTCTTTCCCCTTCAGCCCTTTAAATATAGGTTCAGTCCTGGGCTGTCTCACTCTCGGTTCTTTCTACTGTTTTCTGGGTGATTGCATGTACTCCGTGGCATTCACAGTTGCTGTTCCTAGCCCTAGCGCTCACATGGGCTGAGCCCAGTCCCGTTTCCAGTTGCTATTTATTGAACCAGCAGACATGAGGAAGACACCATAAAAATCAGCACTTCTCAAACCACCCTCATTTTCTTTTCACTGTTCTTTCTATGTTTATCTGATTGGGAACAAAATATTTACAAATCTATCAGTTTCCAAGCTAGAAAAATTAATAGCGTCTTGTAATTATTGTTATTCCCTTATGAAACTGAGGTATAGAATCAGGGTGGTATACTAGGGAAAAAAAATGAGCTTTCTTTACATGTAAATGCCATGTATGTATTTATTTGCCAGAATCTAAGCTCCACGGGAGCACAAATATTTATTTTTTTTGTTTATTTATGTTTCTTCATCACCCAGTAGTTGTTCAGTAAATATTTGCTGAGTGAATAGCCAGAATCAAGATACTTAAACTTTAGACTCTTTGTTCTTTCATTTTTAAAATGGAGGTAATAACTTACAGGATTTATATAAAGATTTAAATAAAGAGTGTAAATACATGGAAAGCAGTCAGTAGATGTTTATTTTGTTCTTTCCAACTCTGTGCCTCAAATCATTCCTATTCCTAATATCACAGGCATGGTTTAGACCCTCCATCTCCTAGTTTCCTGTCTTTATTCTCTCCTTTCTTAAGTACAATCCCTGCCAATTTATGAGCAGAGAAAATTTTTTTTTTTTTTTGTCTTTTCTTAAGAGGATACGCTTGCTAGTCACTGACATGTCTTTTTTGTGAAATTTCTATTGTGTTCTCTGCCCATTTCTAGTACGTTTTTACATTTATACATGAAGGAGTTTGTCTTATGTTAAAGATACTCATCTTTTTTGTTGTCGTTTTGTTTTTTGAGATAGGGTCCCACTCTGTCTCCCAGGCTGGAGTGCAGTGGTGCAATCATGGCTCACTGCAGTTTCAGTCTCCCAGGCTCAAGCAATCCTCCTGCCTCAAGCCCCCAAGTAGCTGGGACCATGGGCGGGCACCACCATGCCTGGCTAATTTTTATATTTTTTGTAGAGACGGGGTTTCACCACGTGGCCCAGGCTGGTCTATAAGTCCTGATCTCAAACAGTCCTCCCACCTCAACCTCCCAAAGTGCTGGGATTACAGGTGTGACCCGCTGAGCCTAGCCACTAATCTTTATTCTTGACCTTGAGTTAGATGAGGATTTCTTTTTTTTTTTTTTTGAGATGGAGTTTTGCTCTTGTCACCCAGGCTAGAGTGTGATGGCACAGTCTTGGCTCGCTGCAACCTCTGCTTCCTGGGTTCAAGTGATTCTCTAGCAGAGACAGAGTTTTACCATGTTGGCCAGGCTAGTCTTGAACTCCTGACCTCAGGTGATCTGTCCGCCTCGGTCTCCCAAAATGCTGGGATTACAGGCACGAGCCACCGCGCCCAGCCCAAATGAGGATTTCTTACGTTGAACATAGCAATCACCATAAAAGAAAAGATCAATAAATTGGGCTTCATTAAAATAAAGAACTTTTTATAAAAAGGTGACTTTTGGAGTGAAAAAGCAAGCTACTGACTGGGAGAAGATATTTACAATGCATGTAATCTCACAAAGGACTCCTATCCAGAATATGTGAGACACTCCTAAAAGATAATTCTTTTTCTGTCATGGGCTGCAAATGCTTTTTCCACATTTTCTGGGTTTTTTTTGTTTGTTTGTTTGTTTTGAGGCAGAGTCTCACTCTGTCACCCAGGCTGGAGTTCAGTGGCACAATCTTAGCTCACTACAACCTTCACCTCCCTGATTCAAGCGATTTTGCTGCCTTCACCTCCTGAGTAGCCGGGATCACTATGCCCGGCTAATTTTTGTATTTTTAGTAGAGACAGGGTTTCGCCATGTTGGCCAGGTTGGTCTTGAACTCCTGACCTCAGGTGATCCACCCACCTTGACCTCCTAAGGTACTGGGATAATAGGTGTGAGCCACCACGACTGGCCCACGTTTTCTGTTTATGTCTTACATTCCTGCTTTCTTTTGTTTTTGTCACATCAAAGTTTTACATTTTTAAAGCAGTTCTTTTTATATATGATACCTGTCTGTTGTCTATTCCATATACATTTATACAGATATTGTCCTATTTTTTCCTCTGGCACTTTTGTTGTTTTTGTTTTTACCTTTAAATCTCTGAATTTGGAGGAGGGATTATTGTGGTTAAAAAGTACTTTTACATCTACTCTTTCTAAAAAGCTTGTGAAGGTGTTTTACAATGTAGGTTTTGTTATTATTCAGGTATGGTGAGGCCAATAGATCAGGAGGCAATTGCCACTGAAAAGAGAGTTTGTTACAGCGCCAAGAGAAAGGGGCCCCAGGATAGGAGGCACCATGTGGGATCCAGAGCCTTTGTTGTGGTTCCTGTGGGGAAGGCAGGGTAAGCAGATTTTGGATTGGCTGGCTCCAGGAATTGCAGAGGACTCAGGTGTCGGGGCTATCTCGAGTTGTCTTATACCTGGTCCTGGGACAATGAAGGCAGAGGACTGCTGCCTTCTGGAGTATAAAAGGCAGAAGAGGTGGTTCTCAGTGTGGGATCTGGAATGTTTAGTTTGTGTATGAAAGATGTGCTCCTGGGTGAGTGGTTTGCTGTCTCTTAAGAACTGGCTAGCCCGGGGAGGGGCAGTTTCTCCCCAGTTAGTGAGGCTCCAGATGCCAGAGCATCAGGAATATAGAAAATAAGAAAATAGGGTTGGGTGTGGTGGCTTATGCCTGTAATCCCAGCACTTTGGGAGGCTAAAGTGGGCGGATCTCGAGGTCAGGAGATTGAGACCATCCTGGCCAACAATGGTGAAACCCCATCTCTACTAAAAATATGAAATGAGCCGGGCATGGTGGCACGTACCTGTAGTCCCAGCTACTCGGGAGGCTGAGGCAGGAGAATTGCTTGAACCAAGGAGGTGGAGGTTGCAGTGAGCCAAGATCACAGATCACGCCACTGCACTCCAGCCTGGCAACAGAGCAAGACTCTGTCTCAAAATAAAAGAAAAGAAGAAAATATGGTTGATATAGAAGGGTGCCATTATTATTTCAGTTTTCAGAGTTGGAAGCAAATTGGAGAAATTATGCAACTACCTAAGGTCACATACTTAATAACATAGGAATAATTTAGGCCGGGCACGGTGGCTCACGCCGGTAAATCCAGCACTTTGGGAGGCCGAGGCGGGCGGATTATGAGGTCAGGAGACCGAGTACCATCCTGGCTAACACGGTGAAGCCCCATCTCTACTAAAAATATAAAAAATTAGCCAGGCGTGGTGGCAGGCGCCTGTAGTCCCAGTTACTCTGGAGGCTGAGGCAGGAGAATGGCGTAAACCCGGGAGGCGGAGCTTGCAGTGAGCTGAGATTGCGCCACTGCACTCCAGCCTGGGCGACAGATGGAGACTGAGTCTCAAAAGAACAACAACAACAAAAATAATAATAAAAGGAAGAATTTAAACTAAAATCTGGCTATTCCAGCATCCAGCTACTTTCCACTATAGCTTGCTACTCATAGTTGGGAAGAATATAATTAAAGCCATGAGTCATCAAGCACAATTCTATTTGTAGGAGATACCTACTACATTTTAGAAGGATTTAAACATCATTAGATGTTTAAAGTTTGGGTACTTAAAACCAGGGGATGCTAGCACTTACAATGCCTGTGCACGTATTAGAAGAGAACACCCCTGCCTGTATGGTGTCAGCCTCGTGAATTTTGGCTTTTGATTTCCCCCTCAGCTGGGCACCTTTGTTCAGTTCACAACATACTAACCATACCCCTTATTTAAACAGATTCAGTGCCAGATACATGAAACCTAAATTACTTAATTTCACGTTTCTCCATCAGAAAATTCAGCAATGTTTGTCTGCAATGATTTATTAAAGAACGAATAACTTTTTTGGATTCTGAGTAAAAAAATACTAGTAAACGTAAATCTACCTTTTTCTTCATTCATTCAGGAAATATGTATTTAGTACCTACTATATGGCAGGTAGTACTCTAGAGACTTGTAGTATATCTCTGAAAAAATGGGCAGAGTTCTGTCCTTGCAGAGCTGCTTTTGAGAAGGAGGGGACAAGTAATAAACAATGAGCAGGGTGAGAGATGTAAGTATTGGGCGGTGGCGTGATAGGGCAGATGTCAGTATTGAATAGCACAGTCAGGGGAGACCTCATTTAGAAGGGAATTGATGGATATCTGAGATAAGAGCATTCAGGCCCAGAGAACATGGTACGTGTCCTTGCCATGTTTCAGTAACACAAGAAGGCTACTGTGGCTGGGGTAGAATGAGCGGAAAGGAGACTGAAAGGAATGGACCAAGAGGGGGCCAAAATGACAGAGGGCCTTGGAGAGTGTTGAAATGACTGTGGCTTTTACTAGCAGCCCGGTGGGGACATGATCTGACTTGTGCAAGGCTCACCCTGATTGCTGAGCTGAGAATAGATGGGATAGGACGCGTGCCAATACACAGGCTCACATGGTAGAGGCTGTTGCAGCATCCCGGCCGGAATAAGGTAGAAGCAGTGAAGGTGGTATGAAGTCATCAGATCTAGTTTTTGGAAACTACTAGTCAGAAGTTAGTTTGTTTTCAATATTGGCTAAAAACATTTTATTTTATTCTTCCCCAGACACAAATCTTTGTTGTGAAACCTCACTGGAAAAGTGTATATTTAAAGGATACTTGAAACGTGTCTGCAGGCGCAGCACAGGTGACTCATGCCTGTAGTCCAGCCCTTTGGGAGGCCAAGGCGGGAGGATCACTTAAGGCCAGGAGTTCAAGACTAGCCCTAGCTCTGGTGCCTTAGTGAGACTTTGTATCTTTTTTTTTTCTGTGACTCGCTGTGTCACCCAGGCTGGAGTGCAGCAGTGCGATCTCAGCTCACTGCAACCTCCACCTCCAGGGTTAAGTGATTCTCCTGCCTCAGCCTCCCAGGTAGCTGGGATTACAGGCGTGCACCACCATGCCCGGCTAATTTTTGCGTTTTTAGTGGAGATGGGGTTTCACTATGTTGGCCAGGCTCTTGACCTCAGGTGGTCTGCCCACCTCGGCCTCCCAAAGTACTGGGATTACAGGTGTGAGCCTCCGCGCCCAGCCAAGACCTTGTGTCTTTTTTTTTTTTTTTAAAAAAAAAGGAAATGTGCTCGAAGAGCTACATGTTCTTGTCTATTTTCTCTTTTGTATTTCTTGAGAAAATGTTGTAGACGGCCATTAGAAAGCAACATCTTAGTGTTCCTTCGACAGGATTTATAAAACTAGTGTTTAGGATAATTTTGCATAAAAGTTGGTTTCTTAATGTATTGTCTCTATTTGCACAAGCTTTGCCACAGGAAATCTACAGAGAGTTGTCCGAAGGTAAAATACATCATTACCACGACATTCTCATGATATCTTTTGTGACATTTATAGTGAATATGTTTAACAAAAATTCACTTCACAAGATGGTCAGATGGAAGACTCACTTGATATGTTTGAAACGTTTGAAACATATGTTGGTTACTCTGGAAGAAAAGAGAAAAAGATCAATGTCAAAATAACCTAATGCTAATAGCCTCCTTTTAGTCTGTAATACTTTTAAAATCAAGCAGAACAGAACAGCTTCGTGTTCTGGTGGAGTAGGTGCTTTGCCTATATGGTTTATTTTAAGAGCTAACATTTAAAGGCCTCCTCCTCCTATTAAAGATATGAATTTCTTCTAGGCTCTAGTTTGCGTCTGTTAAAATGTATATAGCCATAAGAAGGGATACCAGAGAAGCTGTTTTCATTCATTAATACCTTGTGGTAAATTTATTTATCAAAATGGCTAACTATGCACAAAGGCGCTATAGACATACAGATGAAACAAGTAGGAATTGAAGCAGCTGAAGGCATGGGCGGTCCGAAAATAGAGATTAGAGAAGTTCAAAAATATTTCACAATTAGTTTTTTGTTAGCAGCAAATCTAAATAAAATAGTCAAATATTTTAGTATAGATATGGGGAACTTATATATGTTGGATGTTGGAGAAAGCTTGAATATATACATAAAGTACAAAAGAAAACGTGTTGGGTATAAGAGTTGATCTTTTCACTTTATTATTGAAAGTATTGCTTTTTTTTTTTTTTTTTAATGAGACGGGGTCTCACTGTGTTGCCCAGGATGGCCTAGAACTCCTAGGCTCAGGTGATCCTCCTGTCTCAGTCTCCCCAATAACTGGGATTACAGGTACACACCACCATGCCAAGCTAAAATTAAAAAAAATTTAAGAACAGTATTTTAAATAACTCTTCCTGAACTCCTAGATAGGCAAGTTGCTTTTTGATAATACCAATTCTTTGCTTTTGCAGTTGTTGCATTGGGATATATTAAGTAATTTATTATTTTTCAAATATGGCAAGTATTTTGACATATTCAACGATCTTTAGGCAGAACTAACTTATAAATTATATTTTGGAGGTTGACTCTCCTCAAAATTAACTTCTTTTTTTCCTCCTCAGAATGAACTGACAGATACACGTGCAAAATTCCACGTACTTTTTCTTTTCTTTGTGTCTGCAATGTTCTTCATCAGCGTCCTCTCACTTTTCAGCTACCACTGCTGGCTAGTTGGAAAAAATAGGACAACAATAGGTAAGTAGGTTAAAATAAATTATAATTGCTTAGGACAGTGACCATAAATAAATATGAAATCTAGAGAAGGACAGGGTCAGATGATAGAGAAGTATAAGACAATTCTGAATCCGGAATTGGTGGCATGTGCCTAATAATCCCAGCTACTCAGGAGACAGAGGCGGGAGAAGCCCCTGAGCCCTGGAGGACAGCCGAGACAACATAGGGAGACCCAGTCTCTAAAAAGTAAAAATAATAAAATAATTCTGTAGTAAAATTAATTTTGACTGGATGGGAACAATGGTTTTATAATAAAGTTCATTATTTTGGAGAAGGTTGAGGAAATGAGATTGACTTTTTAACATATTTTCAGTAACGTGTTATGTGGAGAACTATTTTATAAATTTTAATAAAAACTTTCCTGCGTTTATACAGTGTCATTTCAAAAATTAATCTGTGAGAGATCGGGCACAGTGGCTCACACCCGTAATCCCAGCACTTTGGGAGGCCAAGGTGGGTGGATTGCTTGAGTCCAGGAGTTCGAGACCAGCCTGGGTGACGTGGAGAAACCCTGTCTCTACTAATAATACAAAAAAAACTAGCTGCAGTCAGGCAAAATTGCATCGTTGCATTCCAGCCGGGGCAATGAGAGTAAGACCCTGTCTCAAAAAAAATTAATCTATGAGAGATAGACAGTAGATTTACGTGCTTTAAGGAAGTTTGTTCTCAAACAAGAAAACCCTCACATCCTCAATTACAGCTTATCTTTAAGCTAAAACATAACAGTGTATTTCATGTATATTCTTTTTTTTTGAGACAGAGTCTCACTCTGTTGCCCTGGCTAGAGTGCAGTCGTGCCATCACAGCTCACTGCAACCTTGACCTCCTGGACTTAAGCAGTGTTCCCACCTCAGCCTCCCAAGTCGCTGGGTCTACAGGTGTGTGCTACCACACCCGGCTAATTTATTTATTTCTATGGAGATGGGGTCTTGCTATGTTGCCCAGGTTGGTCTCAAACTCCTGGGCTCGAGTGGTCCTCCCACTTAAGCCTCCCAGAATGCTAGGATTACAGATGCAAGTCACCCTGCCCAGCCCATATATATTCTTTACTTTTCCCCCACGGTTAAACACATTTAACTGGCATATGTTCCATGACTGAAGCTAAGGAGTAGTGCTTTTGACATACCTCATTATTTCCATCTTTGTGTCAGTTGTCAGTGAGACTTATGTATTGTATCACTAGTATTAGCATTTATTTCTCTTTTTGTTTGATCATTTTAAAAAATGAACATATAGGGGGAAAAGTAAGGTATTCAAGTAATTGGACAAACATTCCCTAAACAACAGTGGTGGCATTGCTCACTGAACTGTTGACATTAGAAGCCCTGCTATGCTATAATTGAAATATTCATGTATCTGCTAACATACCAAGACACAGAATAAGGATTTTTATGGTAATGTTTTGTAAAAAGTTAAAATCCACCTGCTAGATTAGAGCCATATATCTGCCAGGTAAGTTGGAGGGAAACAGTTTTTAATTATAGAAAGAATAAGGGATTTGGGGTGAGACATGTAGATGCTTTAGTATTGGATCATTTTAATGTTGTGTTACTGAGCTGTCTTGTAAGTTATGGTGGGCTTCCAGTGTGAGGATTTGTTCCTTCTCTTCCAGTTCCATCATGCCTTCATCCCTTTTCCATGTAAACAAAATTTCTTATCCCTATTAACTAATTTTTTTTGGTCATCTTTGTAGAATATTCTGCTATCTCTTTACCTTTAATTGAAAATGACAGAAAGGCAGCCTACAGGCAAAGTGCAGCCCTTAAGTTCTCCCCAACCAATAAGATCTATGTGAGCGATTTCACAAAGAAGACCAGATTTCTTCTGTTCAGAACTGATGAATCTAGTGGTAGCAGGCCCGTTTTCCCACTCGGCATCAGTGAAACAGAGCTAAGCAGGGGTGGACTGCACAAGATAGGGCATGGATTTAGATAGGGTGTGGACACTGGCTTGCCAGTCGTGCCTTTTCTGTTTCCTGCCCAGCCCCCGTAGGTATGTGAGAGGCTGGCATTTCTAGGGAACCTGCTGTTGTCTTAAACAATCTTTTTCAAACTTTTTTTTTTTGCCAGTGGCCACAGTAAGAAATGTAGCATTTCGTATCGTGACTTAGAACTTGCACAAATATTTATAAAATTATATAAATAAAATAAGCAAAAGTTTCACAAAACCTGTTTAATCTCTACTATATGCAGTGTATTCTGATATTTTCTTCTCTAGTTTCTTAAAAGGAAATGCGGGTTGCAAGTCACTCAGTTGATTTTGTGGTCTGTTAAGGTGTTTTAACCCACACTTTGAAAAAACATTGCTTAACACACCACTTTTTTACAGCTTCATCTCCCATAGCCCTGGTCTTTAGCTAGTTCTCCACTGCTACATTCAGATGCTTGTTCTTGGATCTTTTGAGGGTATCTTATTCTGCTGCATCACCTCTATCTTCTTCATAACCGTCACCTACCCACCTTGAGATCGTTTACCCTCATTTAGTGAGTTCCTGCATTTAAGCTAATTTCATTATCGCAAACAGGCAAGCTAGTCCCTTTGATTCTGAGCTTTTTTATTGCTTAGAACTGAAGAGCCTCTGAAAATGAAATTTTAAACTTGAATATGTTATTCTCTGTTTATTGTATTCTAATATACTTCCTGAGTCTTCTATTCTCCAACAGTTTTCTCCTAAGTTTTTCTTTCCCTTCTGGTTTTATTTCTCACCCATGTCCATTCTAGATCCTATGATAAATGACTTTAACAGCTCTTGACAAAAACAGCTCCTTACATCTTTGGTGCCTAGACTTTCTCCCATTATTCCTTTGCTAATTCATGGCTCTGGTTACCCAGCCATCCTCTTTATCCCTGTGCGCAGTGGGGCTGTTGAAAGCTGTTGAAGGATGTCTTCCTCCGTAAGGTTTGCTATAGCTACAGATTTAAGACGTTTGAGGACCTTAGCTCTGTTTGGCAGTAATGTCACATGTTTCTGGTCAGGTCCCTCACCTACTACCCAAGACGGTTATTCCAGATTTTCATAATTCTCCCACTCTCCTTACCTATTTTATGAGTCCCTAGTAGAAAAATTAGAAGGAGTCACAAGTAAACTCTCATCTTCACATCTTTATAGCCTCATACAAACATTTCTTCTTTCACACCTATCACTCTCACCTGTCTCTACTTCTGAGGAAGAAAGATGTCTTTTCTGGTATTCAAGGTAGATCTTTACAACTTTTCTAGACTCCTTCCCATCTCTTCTAGGATTCCTTCTTCAGTTTTTAGTTCACTTGTTTATATCAGTAGTCCCTCCCAATACCCTGGGTTCTTATCTTTAGCTTATAAAACACACTGAAGTGCATTCTATTTTTAAATTAAACATTTTTTGTGAAGCCTGTATCTTTCTCCAGACCTCACTCTACTTCACTTAACAACCAAGCTTGAAATAATGGTCTGGTCACCCTCAGCTTGCTCACCTTTCCCTACAAGCACCCCCAAAGCACATATATGCCCCCCATCGAGACAAAATTAGCTTCCTTCACCTTTGTGCTCCCAGTACAACATGGCTATGTTAGCACTTATTACACTGTACTTTTGCTAGACTCTAGGTTCTTCAATAGGAATTTTATCTAATTTATCTTTGAATCCCAAATATCTGGTACGAAGCTATCAGGAACATAGTAGGAAATTCATAAATAATGAGTGAAGTTGCAGGAGTTAGAATATCTTGTAGAAAAAAAAAGCCAAGAGATAGTGGAGCACACAACACTAGATTTTCAGTAATATTTGATAATTATTTTGACATGTTACTTTATAAGGTTGATGAAATATTAAATGTGTTTTTTCCCAAAAGAAGTTTCAGAAATTTATCTTTTAATTGCAACCAATGTATTATTTATTTTAAATTATATTTATAATTTTTGATGTCAAATATATAAGCAAGAAAATTGGTACTTTCCATCCCTTCTATAATTTTTAAACAGATTAATTAGTTTATATATGTATGTATATTTAACAGAATCATTCCGCGCACCCACGTTTTCATACGGACCTGATGGAAATGGTTTCTCTCTTGGATACAGTAAAAATTGGAGGCAAGTCTTTGGTGATGAAAAGAAGTATTGGCTACTTCCAATATTTTCAAGGTAATTTATAAAATGTGGGTCTCAGGGATTATGGCATCTGTGGTGGTCTTTTTCTGGTTAAATGTCTTCAGATTTAGAGAATATAATATATAATGATATTCTTACAGACATTGAGAATGAAAACTCAATTTTTTATACATAAAATATTTTATTTTTCATTTTTTAATTAGATAAGGTTAAGGAGAGTTTATATATTTGAAAGGAAAGTAGAAGAAAAAGATGATTTGCTAAGAAAAGATTTTTTTTTTCAAAATGCAAATGTTGTTTGAAATAAAGAATTATAAAAACGTATAGTTATTAGCCACAACTTCAAAGATCCTATCACAGAAATGAATTACGTATTCTGTTGTGTCCTAAATCAGAGAAGACCAACGATGTATTGCAATTTTACCCCAAATGTAAATGAGAGTGTATTCTTGAGATGATTGATAGTTTCCATTTCTTTCCCATTTCCATCCATTTTAGGCCAGCTCTGTATCAAAGTCATCATAAAGAAGGAAAAAATATTTGAAGATTGAATGACATATTTGTAGGAGTTACGGGTTTTTTTCCCTAGATTAACTCAATTGCCTTTTTTTGGTCTGAAAATGACTTATTTGCTTTCATTTTTTAAAGACATTTTTGCTTGGTATAAAATTCTAGATGTTGGCCAGTCACAGTGGGTCATGCCTGTAATGCCAGCACTTTGGGAGGCTGAGGCAGGTGAATCACTTGGGGCCAGGAGTTCAAGACCAGCCTGGCCAACATGGCGAAACCCGGTCTCTACTAAAAATACAAAAATTAGCTGGGTATGGTGGCACACACCTGTAGTCCCCAGCTACTTGGGAGGCTGAGGCACAAGAATCGCTTGAACCTGGGAGACAGAGGTTGCAGTGAGCTGAGATGGCACCACCACATTGCAGCCTGGGCAACAGAGCAAGACTCTGTCTCAAAAACAAAACAAAACAAAAAATTTTAGATGTTGCTAAATGTTATGTTTCTGGGTTGCATTTTTATAATGAGAAATTGTGATAACTCTTATTTTTGTTAGTCTGTATATAATGTTTTTTCTATGACTACTTTTAAGACTATCACTACTTCATGCAATTTGATTATGATATATTGATCTAGTTTTCTAGTTTCTTGTGCTTGGGTTTAATTGAACTTTTTGGATCTCTGGTTTTAGAGCTTTAATCAAATTTGGAAAATATTGTTAACCATTATTTCTTTTGTCATCTCCTTCCCCTATTACTGTGGGGACTCCAGTTACACGTGTTACCAGTCACTCACAGTCCTCCCACAGCTCACTGGTGCACTTTTCATTTTTTGTCTGTTTTCTGTGTTTCATTTTGTATAGATCCTATTGCTATATCTTCAGGTTCATTGATCTCTTTTGAATACTTTATCCATTCTCATGTATTCAGGATTTTCCCCCTCCCATTGGTTGGAACACAGATTACTTGTTTTGAAGTTATTTTCTGTAAACAGCGAATTATATGTCGATAGGATTTTGTTGTTATTTTTAGTTTTCCTTCCTTTAAAGATGTTCCATTATCTTCTGGTCTGCATTGTTTCTAATGAAAAGTCAGCCTGACTTTAATTTCTTTATTTCATTGTTTGTAAATTACTATCCTTTCCCCTCCTGTAGCTACTTTTAAGATTTTATCTGTATCAGCTGGGCGCGGTGTCTCACGCCTGTAATCCCAGCACTTTGGGAGGCCGAGGCGGGCCGATCACAAGGTCAGGAGATCGAGACCTTCCTGGCTAATAGGGTGAAACCCTGTCTCTACTAAAAATACAAAAAATTAGCCGGGCATAGTGGCAGGTGCCTGTAGTCCCAGCTACTTGGGAGGCTGAGGAAGGAGAATGGTGTGAACCTGGGAGGCGGAGCTTGCAGTGAGCCAAGATTGCGCCACTGCACTCCAACCTGGATGACAGAGAAAAAAAGATTTTATCCTTGTCATTGGTTTTGAGCAGTTTGATGAGTTCCTTGGTGTTTATCCTCCTTGGGGTTCATTAGGCTTCTTGGATCTGTAAGTTTATAGTTTTCATCAGATTTGAATAATTTTCATCAATTATGTCTCTATTTTTTTCTGCCTATTCCCCTCTTCCACCTCCTCCCTGACCAGCTTTTCTGGTCCTCTCATGTACACATATGTTAAATTGCTGGATAGTGACCCACAGGTCATTGCTATTTTGTCCTTCTCTGCCATCTTCTTTTCTCTGTTCGCTTCATTTTGGTTAATTTCTACTGCTAATATCCGTAAGTTCACTGATCTCTTCTATAATGTCTAGCCTGCTGGTAAGCTTTTCCAATGAATCTTTCATGTAAGATTTTAAAAATATTTATCTATCTATCTATCTATCTATCTATTTATTTATTTATTTATTTATTTATTTATTTATTTAGAGACGGTGTCTTGCTCTGTCACCCAGGCTGGAGTGCAGTGGTGCGATCTAGGCTCACTGCAACCTGTGTCCCCTGGGTTCAAGCAATTCTCCTGCCTCAGCCTCCAAAGAAGCTGGGATTACAGGTGCGTGCCACCACACCTGGCTAAGTTTTGTGTTTTTAGTAGAGACAGGGTTTCACCATGTTGGCCAGACTGGTCTCAAACTCCTGACCTCAAGCAATCCACCCACCTCATCCTCCCAAAGTGCTGGTATTATAGGCATGAACCACCGCGCCTGGCCCAGATGTATTTTTCAGCTCTAGAAGTTCAGTTTGGTTTTTTTAATATCTTACATTTATCTTTTCATTATATCTATTTTTCCTTTTAATTCACAGGTACATTGATAATCATTTTTAAAAAGTCTTGTTTGCTAATTTTCACTGAAATTGCTAAGTTTCTGATTTTTTTCTGTTAACTTTTTTTTTTTCTTAGCTGTAGATCACATCTGTGCTACTTTTCATGTCCAGTAATTTTTGATTGGGTGGTGGACATTTTGAATGCTACTTTGCTGCCTGTCTAGATTGGCCTCCCGAAGGGATAGGATTAGAGGCATTACTACTGCGCTTGGCCTGAGGCTTGTTTTAAGCTGTATTACGTTGAGTCCAGAGTAGTACTTTCTCTAGGGCTAGTTTAGCACTCCAATTAATGTGGAGTTTTTGCCAAATCCATGTGTTCAGTGAGATCGCCCCAGTCAAGCTGGGCAAATGTGAATGCTTCCCAGTGCTGTGAATTATTCATCGTTCATTATTCCCAGTTGTTCTTTTCCTGGATTCACAAGTGCAGCTTAGTATTTATCAGAAGACTCAGGCACAGCACCGTGCAGATTTCTGCAGCCATTTCTCTGCATATCTTGCTCTCTCTCAACTCTGTCCCATAGATTTAAGCCACCTCAGCCCCTCTTTTCTTAGAGTCTCACTGTCTCTCAAAGTGAGACAGGCTGAGTGCCCAGGCTGGAGTACAGTGCTGCAATCTTGACTCACTGCAACCTCCGCCTCCCGGGTTCTAGTGATTCTCGTGCCTCAGCCTCACTAGTAGCTGGGATTACAGGCGCATGCCACCACACCCAGCTAGTTTTTGTATTTTTAGTAGAGATGGCATTTCACCATATTGGCCAGGATGGTCTTGAACTCCTGACCTCAAGTGATCCGCCTGCCTTAGCCTCCCAAAGTGCTGGGATTACAGATGTGAGCCGCCGCACCCAGCCCACCTCAGCCTCAAAACTCTCACCTCTGTCATCTCAATTCAGTGAAACTACCTTGTTCTGCTTGTTTCCCACCCCCGTAGTGCCAGGGCCCTGGTTTCCCACCCCCGTAGTGCCAGGGCCCTGGTTTCCCACCCCCGTAGTGCCAGGGCCCTGGTTTCCCACCCCCGTAGTGCCAGGGCCCTGGTTTCCCACCCCCTGTAGTGCCACGGTCCTGGCAGAAAGCTGTGCCTTGCTTGGTTTTGTTTTCTTTTTTTCTGAGACCACAGTTCTCTGCTGCCTATTTTTTAAAAAAATAATTTTGTACTGTTCAGTTTCTGACTATGTACAGTTTACCAGTTATTCCATCTTGGCGAGAAGTAAAAGTCCCTGTAGTATACAATTTTGATGTGTTTAGATAATATGAAAATAAGGCATAAGTGTGCTCTTTTTAGACCGTAAGCTTCTTGAAGGCAGAAAGTTTCTTCTCTTTTGTTCACTATTTCCTATATCCGTAGTAGTTAAAATAGTACCTAGAACATCATAGGCATTCAGTAAATATTTGTTTAATGAATATTGTTGAATAAATATGTGGAACTTACATCATGAATTTCAGTTTGAGCCTGAATGATCTCATAAATGATTACGATAAGCAGGTCAGTTACTCAAATACTTGAATACCTATGCTTGGGGTGCTATGCTAGGCATCAGAATCTTAATAGGCACAGAAGACTTTGTTTCTCAATGTGTGTAAATTATAAAAGAAAAGGGCTTATGTCTGCAATGGCGGTATCAGTCTGTTCTCACACTGCTAGTAAAGACATACCGGACACTGGGTAATTATAAAGGAAAGACGTTTAGTTGACTCACATATGGCTGGGGAGGCCTCACAATCATAGTGGAAGGCAAGGAGAAGCAAAGTCACATTTTATATGGTGGCAGACACAGGAGTATGTGCCAGGGGAACTCCCGTTTATAAAACCATCAGATCTCGTGAGACTTACCCATTTTCACAAGAACAGCACAGGAAAAACCCACCCCCATGATTCAGTTACCTCCCACTGGGTCCCTCCCCTGACACATGGGAATTATGGGAGCTACAATTCAAGATGAGATATGGGTGAGGACACAGCCAAACCATATCAAGGTAATAACACCTAAATTAGAAATCTTAGGAATTACTTCCTTATATGACAAGTTATGATAATTTATGCTGTGTCTCTGAAAAATGGGTGTTAAATTTGACCATTTTGATTTAATTTAGCATTATTTAAATTATTACTCTTTTTCATTATGCAGCTTGGGTGATGGTTGCAGTTTTCCAACTCGCCTTGTGGGGATGGATCCAGAACAAGCTTCTGTTACAAACCAGAATGAGTACGCCAGAAGGTGTGCTTCTTGTCCTTACGCTTTTCCATATTCATCATAAAGCAAACCGTGTACATGTGTTGTGTGTACATCTTATGAGTAAATACAGTAGTGATTTAGTAAACCAGCATAGTTAGGGAAAGAGAAATTTAAATTTTTTAACTGTGGGTTAATAAAGGTATATGTGCTGATAACCATAATTTTTTATTATCTAAACCAGAACACTTAAGAGTAGGAAAGAGAATGCTTATTTATTAATAGTTAAACCAGGATAATCGCATAAAGCTGGAAATGTCTGGGCAAGCTGGGAAGCAACTAAGACCTTTCAAGATTTGATTAGATTGGATTATGTCAGTTATGTTTTTTCAAATAAATTAGTCATTATACTAATCACCATTTTATTGTGATAAACAAATTTTAATATACTATCAAAATAATAAGAATTCAAAAATACAATTTTTTTTTTCATTACTTCATCTTAGAGGAAATTTTCCCATAATATTTGCGTGGCAAGTAAACTTTCATACATTCAGTGTAATAGTTCATTTTAAATGAAATTTTAAAGAAGCTAGAGATACTTCTGTCCAAGTAAAACATTCATAATTTATTCATTACAGAAATAAGTTGTAGGAGAAGAGGAATGATAAGTTCTAAACTAGCATATTAATATTGGAAGAACCCTAAGTCTTAGAATGTAGCTTAAAGCCTTAGACCTTTGAGGTCTAACATTTGTTACGGTTCTGGCCCAGTCACTTAAATTATGAGCCTCAGTTTCCACCTCTATGAAATCGGGATAATGATACTCACCACCGAAGGTTATTTGGAGCGCTGAGATAATGTATATAAGGTGCCTGGCATCGTGTCTGGCCCATAATAGGGAACCAACAAATATTAGTTTCCTTTTCCTCTTCCTTTCCTTCCTCCATTCCCTCCCTCCCTGGATCTTTTAGCTAGAAAAATAAGTCTACGCTAAATCACTGAATCATTTTTTCCCCTTAGATCTAAACTGCAGAGGTAGAAAGCAGAAAACTTGGGAAATGACAGGTAATTGTTTTGTACTGGCCACAGACATAGATCCCCACCTGTCCTTGCACTGCCTATGGCTCCCGATTAACATATTAAGAACAGTTCAGACTGGCCTCTGAAGCTTTTTAGATTTTGACTAATTGTTTTCATTGGCAGCGTTGGAATACAGATTCTTGGGTCTAGAGAGCCATTTAATGGGGGGTTGTGGGCATATTTTTATTTTGAAGGTAGTTTTTTCAGAGTACTAAGATCTCATGAGTTGCCCTCACATATTTAGGAGAAGGAATACTAATTTGCTGCTTATTAATTTATTAAGTATCCACCGCTGAGCATTAAGCTATTTATTAAGTTGTTTGCTCTTCTTTTCAGTAGTGGCTCAAATCAGCCTTTTCCTATCAAACCACTTAGTGAATCAAAAAACCGTTTGTTGGACAGTGAATCTCAGTGGCTGGAGAATGGAGCTGAAGAAGGCATCGTCAAATCAGGTAATAGTTCTCATTTGAAACACTGCTTTGGTTCAAATGAACAGCATGAGATATGATACATGTGGAAAACTCAAAATAATGTAACATTTAAAAAATACTAAAATATGTGAAACTTTTAAATATATGCTGGGCACGGTGGCTCACGCTTAGTAATCCCAGCACTTTGGGAGGCCGAGGCAGGTAGATCACGAGGTTAGGAGAATGAGACCATCCTGGCTAACCCAGTGAAACCCCGTCTCTACTAAAAAAAATACAAAAAATTAGCCGGG